TTTTTTTTTTTTTTTTTTTTTTTTTTGGTCTGTTTCAGAAAAGCTTTTCACATACAGTGATCTCACAAATAATTTATTTGAACTCATTGGTGGGTGGCGCATACATTATAGGCTGTGGTTTCATTGATATGCTCAGCCTCCCTGAGTAGATGGCATATTAAATGTTTTATTTACCCTGTGTGCTACCTGTCATCTAATCAGCTTTTGTGTTTCTGCTGCATTCTGTTTGTATTATAGCAAGAATAAGTGGTTTCATGTAAATTAAAACCACATGAAACCTTTTAAAGCCATTTTAAAACRCTAAATGGGTTTGCAAATAGGTTTGTCGGACAAGGATTGGAAAAAGAGCTCTTTGCTTACCCATTTACTCTTCTGTGTGCTTGTTAGAAGTCCCCATGTGACTTTTTCAGCAAACATTGCCTCCCAGTTCTCATCTGGAATGCCAAAAGTCATTTATACTGTGCTCAAGAGCAGTTTGCATAAACAGGAGGCAGTTAACAAAGAATACAGTTGTGCAATTGCAAAGGTTATTTCATAAATTACAACACAGATGAACAATAAAGTCAAGACATGCAGCCCTATGATGTTTTCYTGCTTGCCTGGAGCATAAAAGCATGTTGGCTTGACAGTTTCTCTGCCTTTATTGACTATTGTTGCCAATATGGATGATTGTGGTCCTTTCACAGTGAATCATTTTGTTTCTTACAGGTCGATCGTATCATATTCTGCGTGTTTTTGGAGGTTGACTACAAAATTTTCAAGAAGAAAATGGGCGAAATTTTCCCTCTAGGTAGGTATAGTAATCAAGTACCATTGACTTTAAAAAAGAAAGCAGCAAAAAGATGACAGTGGGCATCTTTTCTTCTTTCCAAAGCCAAATATTGAAATGTGAACTTTCTTTAAAGACCAGCTGCACATAGGAACTTTGATCCTGGACAAATGCAGACATTTAAAATTTGTGAACCATTAAAACTACTTGTGATACTGCTTTTGTATGCTCAGTACAGCTAATTCCTTCATTCCATGCTGTATCCATATCTCTTCCCAGAACTTTGTGTATGGTGGTGTTTCTCTTGAGTAAAGAAGAAAATGATTTGCACTAATGTATATAGATCCTAGTGTATATTGCTTTTCCATACACTTTGTACATGCTTTTGTCTTTCATTAGAAATGCTGGTCGAGTTTCTTCAGGTCTGAAAAGATACCACAGGGGTTAGAGCCCAACTGTGTCTGAATGAGGACTTTAAACTTGAGCTGTCCCTGGGCAAGAATTAATGGGAGAAAGATGGCTCTCACTGGAACACTTGGGAAATGTTAGCCATTCATCTTGGATTTCACGCAGGAGGTTGCTTTCTAGATTTAAGGAAACCTGGTGGATAGTAAAATTTGTTAATCCCCCTCCTCCTATAAKCCTGTGATTTATTTTTGTCATACATCATTAGAAATCTGTGCTCCATGATTTTATCTACCCTAAAACTCCTCCCATTTTATTTTGCTTTGAGCTGACATCAGTCTATGTGTGAAAAGATCCAGATTAAAATATTTTGTTTTATCACCCAATACTCCCCATGCTGTCTATCTAGTGGAAATGGTCCTGGGGTAATAGGAAGCAGAGCTTTGGTGTGTTCAGAGTCCCGATAATTTTACAGCTCTGTGTTGTCACTGTATTCACAGTGGTTTTTTCCTCTCACTTTTTGTCTGGTAGCATGGAAATAGTGATATTTTTGTCTCATCTCACTAGAACAAAGCTTTTTTGTAGATGACTTTGTAATTGCCAGTTTGGAATGATTGGCAGCCGAAACTTAAAGACCTATTGAATAATTCAGGTAGCATCGAATGATGTCTAACCACTTAATGTTTTTGTCTGGACCACACTGAACATGCCTTGCAAAAAGCTGCATTCATGTCTAATCCATTCATTGTGTGATTTTATTTTTTTGTCAGCATACTCAACCCAAAGGATAGAGTGGCAGTACCCTGCCTACTGTTGCTGGCTCTGTCTCTGCCCTTCAGATTAAGTGAGAGAAGAATACAGCATCAGTTTGTCAACAAATAAAGAGTAGTAATGCTCACTTTCATCGTTAAGGCCTTTGAAATTGTGGTTTAAAGCCTGGTATTGTTTCTATAAATGTAAAACCCACTTGGGTTTGAAAGTCTGAGAGAAAAGAAGATGCTTCAGAGCTGTGGCATGACAAGCCAAAAGGCAGAAAGAGAGAAAAATGTAAGATTTATTTCATTCGGGCTTTTTTTAAACCCTGGCATTGTTGTACTCCTGTCTACAAAGAACCTGTGAGGCTGGGTCTCATGTTACAGAAAAATATATAGTTACATCACACCACCATTATGTGGATGATCAGCCATGCTATAGTTTTGAAAGTATGTTTATTCTCATGCATGTACAGGTTTTGTGATTTTTTTTTTTTCTCAAATTAAAATTGGGATTTTGATATGTGACCATAGAGACATGGCCATGGTAGGGACCCTCTAAATCCAGTGGTTTTTATATGTGGCTGTGGCAAAAGATTCATCCAAAGTTTACRACTGTCCAGAGAAAGTTTAGTTCTCAGCATCCATAATTTGGTATAGATTATTAAAATACCTTAGGATTCATTTTCATGGACTCCTCACTGCAATTTTCTCATAACTAATGATTCTGGTTTTGATATGCCTAATGTTACTGGGCATCTACTGGTGAGCCAGAGCCTTAAAAGGAAGCAGTAGAGCATCTGGTTTTCTGCACAGAGGACTTAGATAACATGGCTCTATGTCAAGGAGTTAGCACCTGCGTCTACCTTTGGAAGTAAATTCCTGATATTTTGACTGTGGAAGAAATAAATTAAGCTGGTGCTTTTGTTTTGGTTTAAAGTGAATCTATTAATTTAGTCAAATGAMAGTCTTTAAGGATAGGCTTGCCCTAAATTTAAATTGATAGAACACTATCTAAACACTCAGAAGAGAGAATGACACTGAGGTGTTGCTTTAAGCTTAGAGAAAAAACATCAAGGCATTTTAAATGTGTGTCTTACATTCAGAAACAGCATGAAATATATGTGTTTTAATGCATGTGGACAAAAATGCTTAGAAAGATGAATATATTCATGGAGTTATACACATAAATAGTTATTACTTTAAAACAAGTGCATTAATAAATCCGAAAAGACGTGCAAGTGCTTGAGCTAGTCAAGTGATAATGAAATGAAGCTAGAATTACACCTCAGTGCATTAAAGTGGAATATAGATATAGGGAAATTGTTCCATTAGTTGAACATATCATTAGGCCAATTTTGCAAGTGGAATGCCAAAGAAATTAGTCAAGTAATAATATTGATATTAAGACAACTGCTGAGAGCCTTGTCATTTTCAAACTTTAAATACATAGGGGGAAGAGACAGATTTTAAAGTAATGTCATGTATTAGCAGTGTAGTAAAGTTATTCAGTAACAGAGCAATTGTAACTGATCCAGCATTTCTGATTCAATCTCAGCAGCCTTTAGAGAACCTCAGCCAGAGCCAGCGTSCTCCAAGGGGGAGCAAAGCACCACTCATCTTTAACTCAGACACAAGTTCTCATGCCAGTGTTGTCCAGAAAAGTCCTGGTTTGGTTAAGTAAAGGGTCCTGGTCCAGGCAGAATTTTCTGTTGATCATCTGGGGTTTTGCTGAGAAGGTTTTGTATATTCTAGTAGGAAAAAAAGCAGTAGAAAACCCAACTTTATTTGCTTAAGATACATCACTGTTTTAATATGTTAAGTGCAACAGTGATGGAATTTTTCTTTTTATGAATTGAGTCCTACCTCCTTGTGGAATGAGATAGCACATATATTCTCCTTTCACCTGTGCTGGAACATTCTCTGTGCTTAATCTTGAGAGAATGTCTTTCAGGCAAATAAAATACCCTTGCCTGCAGTTATGGCTCTTATGTGTAGTTCTTACATTGCTGGATTCATTGCTACTAATAGYATGAGTGAGGTTTCCAGGAAAGGAGCTGCTACTCAGACCATTTTTTCYCTTGGAATGTGTTGTTTCCTCTATYAGAACTCTAAATGGAATCTAGACATTAGGCTTTACTTTCTAGCTAAGTATACATATTTATAAGACTTACCAGAAAATAGAATCCCCCTCAAAAAGCTGGATTTGCCAGCATTTACCTTGGAGTCATACATACTTSTAGGATTCTGTACATAGGAGAAAAATTAAGACTATTTGTAAACAGTTGCCAGCTGGAGGCAATGATACTTTTTTTTCCTTTCCTCCTTTATTCTGTGTACACAAAGATACTTAATAGGTCAGACAGATAATCTTGTAAGGACCTTTGGCAAATGCTGCTTTTTCATGGTGACTGTCGGATAGTATAAACAGTTTATCTTCAATTGTAATGCTTAAAGTATTTCTAAATCTACCATGTGTTATCAGTGGATTGGAGAGCAGAAACACTTTCTCTGAAAATGTTCTTTAGACAAAAAAAATGCTATAAAATGGATGTCCTGTGAAGCTGCATCATCCAAGGTTGTATTACTTCTTGCTAATTTAAACAGAATAACAGAATTACTTCGCTAAAACATTGCAAAAATTTTTGAAGAAAGGATGTTTGCACTTTTATTAGGCCAGTTGATGGATGGCAGGGGCATGCTATTGGACTCATGTCCTTTCAGAGCTAATGAAAGGATGCTGAGCCCAAGAGCTTTTTCTTTTTTCCTTTTTTTTGTTGTCTTTTTTGAGCCATATCAGTTGGTGTTAGGAAAAAGAGAGAGATATTGCTTCATCTTGAGAAAACTTTCTCTTCCCTCTGTTCCAAGTTATGATGTTTAATGCATTTTCTGCTTTCATCCTGGCTGATGAAAACAGTTTCTCCTACCCAAACCATATGGATAAGAGCTACTGCCTTCTAATAATTCACTTATTACTTCAGGAGGATGCACAGCATCCTGCTTGTGCATAAAATGTGCAAATATATTACAATTGCAGAGGAAATTCATTGTTAAGAGATCTCCCAGGCTCGGAATCAAATTGGAAACTGTCTAAATGGCTGAATGAAGGGCTTTGTATTAAAAAGGCCAATCCCTGCACTAATACGTGAGTGAACTAATAAACAGATGCTGTAATTTCTGGACTGGTATTGAGAGGTATCGCTCTCTCCTCGCTATGGCAGACTGCACTGGGGCTGAAACAGCCCTCTGCATGAGCAAAGGAGCTGTAAGTTAGCCCTTAGCAAGTAATCCAGTATCAAATGGGTAATTCATCTGATAAATTTAGCTTCTGTATTTGCATTTGCAGCCTTCATGAGCTAATTTGTTACTGTAATTCATCACCTGAATGTATTGCACAAAATATTTTTCATGGGCTCTATTTTACTCRGTGGAGAGGTGCCAAACAGTTTACTGGAAGTGTCCAAGATCCTTTATGGGAGGTTTCACCTGGGCAGTGATTTTGCCTCATTAGTCACAAGGTTTTCCTTCTGGTTCAGGCTGGTGTGCAAACTGGGGCTTGGGGCCCACAGGAATGTCCCTTGGGGAGTAAGATTTGGGGGAGTTTGATATCCCTTTGGCTTTCTCCTGATTATCAACAAGGGCCATGCTGAAGGTTTTGGTTGCAGCTGCTTTCCCTGTCCCCGTGCAGGTTTTCCAAGTTGTCTTTACAGATGATGCACAGGGTGAAACTGGAAGCAGTTAGACCATGGTCGTCTTCTCTTCACTGTTTTCCCTTACAAAGCTTGCAAGGTGCTGTTTGCTGTCTTCCTTCCCCGACCCCATAGTTCCAATGCAGCTCTTGTACTGGGTTGCTTAGAGGACTTT